ACTTGCTTAATACGGGCATTTCACCGAAAATGTTTGTTGATGATATTATTATTATCAGTTTCGGCAGCCACAAAGAAATAAGTAAAGTGTCCATCATTTGTCGTCGCAAGCAGGATAACTTCCTAACAAAAATCCATATTCTCTGGCAAAATTCGAACCTACTACGATGAGGGGCAAGTTATTTGAAGGCAACTACCTCACTCGGGCACAATTATTTAGAAAACACAATATACAGCGGGACAATTCTTATTTCAGCCAATAAAGTTATGTTTAAATTCGTTTAAAAAAAATTAATGTATATACATTGAACGTATAAACTTCATGGAGTTTGCACAAATCTTTCATGACACTTAAAAACAGACCAGCCTTCCCAGGAAGATAACATGCATGGAATGTAAAGTTTAAATTCAATTTAGCATGCAACATTATTTTATATTATTGTACTCACAGAGAAAAATATTGTCTATGAACATTAAACAACACTTTGCCTGCTTGATAATGATTTGTGGCTTGAGGAAATTTAAAACGACGTTAGCTATAAAAATATTTCTTAAAATCTATAATTGGCAAGACAGTCATGCTTTGAAATGTCTCATTTTGCTTATAAAACAGAGGTTTATAATCATTATCATCCCCAGTAAATATTGTTTCTTATCGCATTCGCTTCAGCATTTTACATTGTCAACTTAAAAATCTTCCTAGATAATAGTCTAAAGGTTTCAATATATTTGGAAATCAACGTATCGTCAGTTCCTATTAAGTTGTCTTTATTTTTAAAATAATTACATAGAATTCATGACAATTCTCCTGAGAAGTATACAAAAGAATAATCCATTTTGAAACAAAATTGATTTAACATACAATTAAGTCTGTATACAAAAGTTTATCGCTTTTGTGTATTGAGACTACTTAATATCTAATAATATAATCTAAGATTGTATGAAAGGTCTAACACGATATTAACTAAGGCAAAACATATCTTAAAATAAAAAGGATCAACTAACAAACCAATAATCCTTAATATCTGTAAACGGTTAAAATAATAAATAATTTAGAGGTTATGTATAGGGAATATTTCATGAAAGCGTCTAAGGCTTCCTGTTGCATTACAACTCTTGATATAAAAATAATTAAAGTATTTACTGCTCTTGCCATCTATAAGCACAGAGCTATATTTAAATAAGCATCTGCTACACAGCAGCAATAAGTATATTTCAAATAGTACATGTTACAATTTCATAAATGTCAACGGGCCTGTAAATAATATTCAAGATGACATCAGGTCAGACAAACAAGAGGGCCGAGAGGGCCCTGCCTCGCTCACCTGAGAAATAGGATAAAGTGGGGCCCCTTTTCATCCCACAAGAAATAGCAAAAATTAAAACATCGCGAAAAAACACCGGATTTACAGTATATGTAAGAAAAATCAATGACCCCGGGGCGGGCCCAATTTTGACCCTGGGGTTTTTATTTCAACAAACATGGTAGATATACACTAACTCAAGTTTCATGCCAAATACTTTTGGATCTTTACAAGAAGATTTTTTTAAGTTTCTTCTATTTACATGTATATATAAGGAAAATCAAAGACACCCTGGGGCGGGGTCAATTTTGATTCTAGGGGTTTTATTTGAACAAACTTCATTCACTGGAAGATGTTTCATCCCAAATATCTAAGCTCTACCTCTTTTGGATTTTTGAAGATCTTTTTTAGTTTTTACTACATACATATAAGGAAAATCAATAAGCTCTAGCTCTTTCCATTTTTACAAGAAGATTTATTTAAGAGTTTTTGTAAAAAAAATATTTTGGTTGCCATGGCAACAAGAGTTCTTTGAGGAATTTAATTCTTTGAACAACCTTGGTTGAGCTTTATGCAAAAAACATCCCTGCCAAGTTGCAACAAGTTTGGCCAAGTGGTAAGAGGACGCACGTTTTGACCTCCTGATAAATAAAATGACACTGCCAAAAAATAAAACACATAGTGAATCAGTGGATAAGCAAACCACTGCACCATGCCACGCGAGTATATACAAGTCAATGTGTACCCTGTCTTGCAATAACAAGCACGTGTTACTTCCAGTCGCTGTTCCTGCCTTGGGAGCTTGAACATTTTCAATTGAAACCTTTGAACCTTTGTTGCAATAACAGGAAGTAGATACGTTTATATACTGTGAAAATATTACATTTAATGAACGGAATATGATATGGATCTGTTTGAAATATAACCTCTAAATGTGATCATGGCCTTTTAGCTACACATGGTTTGTTCAAATTACACATTGTTTCATCATGCTAAACAAGTTATTTCAACTAGAGCACCGTATGAAGTGTTAACGCTCGTCTGTTAAAATTTCAACTTTTGACAAAAAAAATGTAAGTCAAAAAGGGGCGTAACTCCAACAATATAGCTTCCAGAATTATGCCCCTTTTTACAACTTCTTCTTGCATGATAAGCAAGTATTGAGTTATATGCAACATTAATTTTTTGCACGATGACAACGATGACCCCGCAGTGATCATACATGTAACAGCTGGACATTTTCCTCGAAACGGTCGGGGTAAAAATGGCAGCTGCACAGATGTACTGTTCAAGGCTAATATGAATGTTTGTTGACCTTTTAACTGATATCCATATTAGCTGCAGTACTTTCCAAATTATTTCGGATTCCCATCATTCATGACAAAGATACAGTCTGGAAATGCAACAATGACCTATGCACCTGAGTACTGAGATTGACATTCGAGCTAATTTTTCAGCTCATCACCGCCTCATCAAGTACTTTGAGAAAAGGTCTATTCATGGCAAAGCAACAATGAGTACAATCAATAGAGCAATTATTTCCCAATTCTGACCCTGACCTTTAAGTACATTTGTGGTTTTTTAATTTACGACCCAAAGTCACATTGGGTTCAATATTGTGCCCAATTTTTTTTGTTTTTTTTTTGTTTGTAACGTAACATAAAACATGGAAAAATGGCTCATATTTACATTTGATCCCTTAGTTCTACCTTCACGTGTGACAAAGGGAGTGGTGGTCTAGTGGTTAAGGTGTCTGCCTCTCAACCCAGGGATCATGGGTTCGAGCCCTAATCGGGTCACAACCATGTTTCTTCATATGACACCAATACTGGTTGGTTCCAGGAAGCCACTCAAAAGTGATTAATATAAGTTGCAAGAACTTGTTTCACAATCGAGCTTTAATAAATATGTTTAAACCAAACCAAGGACTCTTAATTTTTACCTTCCACTTCTTAGTTTAAGCTTGACCTTAGAGCTATATTTCTGGTTCTTGTGTGCGACACACCACTTCAATTATGTTGATATTTGTTATTGCTAAATCTATCTATCTGGGTAAAACAAGAGCCGGTTGAACCGGGTAATGCTCCCCGACAAGGTTTTGGACACAGGAAAGTATATCTTTTGTAGTTTCAGAGTTCTGTCCCAGACAAAGTTCAAAGTGTGATAATTCCAAACTTAGGCAAGGTAGACTTACTGTTCTTTGCACTGCACTTCTACTCAATGAGATCTAACAACCGACTTGTGCGCGACACGTCTCAATATGGTGATCATTTCTGTGAATTAGTTGTAAAATCCGACTTCAAATAACGAAGTTATGAGCCTGACACGATTTTGCTGAAAGGTCATGCTGTGACCTTGACCTACAAGGTAGCGACCAAAATGTTGTGCGCGACATGTCGTCTCAATTTGGTGATCATTTCTTCGAAATAGTTGTAAAATTCGACTTCAAATAACTATGTTATGGGCCGGACACGCTTTTGCTGCAAGGTCATGCTGTGACCTTTTTGTGTTAAATAGTTATAAAATCCGACCTCAAATAACAATGTTATGGGCCGGACACGATTTTGCTGCAATTCATGCTGTGACCTTGACCTTCAAGGTAGCAACCAAAATGTTGTGGGTGACAAGTCGTCTCAATATGGTGATCATTTCTTCAAAATAGTTGTAAAATCCGACTTTAAATAACGAAGTGATGGGCTGGACACCATCTTGCTTTAATGTCATGCTTTGACCTTGACCTTCCAGGTAGCGACCCACATGTTGCCCCCAACACGTTGTCTTAATATGGTGATCATTTCTGTGAAAAAGTTGTAAAATCCGACTTCAAATAATAAATTTATGGGCCGGACAGGAATTCGGGACGTACGTACATACGCACTGACGGACGGACGGACAACCCGGTGACTATATGCTCCCCTGAATTTTTCGGGGAGCATAAAAATAAGACAAACTTTCCAAGTCATGCACTTACACCTAATCACCACTGCCACAAGTAATTTAAGCTAAGAGAAAGTAGGCTCAATAAAAAGCTTAACACTTGAAAATAATTATTCACAACTACCAACTTATAATTCCACATAATCAAAATTGTAGCAAACAAAGAAAATAAGGAATGGATAGTTATTGTATATAGACCTACCGCCGCCCCCCCCCCCCCTGGCAGGGCCAATTTTAACCCAAGGGCTTGAACAAACTTGGTGGACACCCATAAGAAGATGTTTCATGCTAAACATCTAAGCTCTAGCTCATTGGGTTTTTTAAAAGAAGATTTTTTAAGTTTTTACTATATGCATATTGGGAAAATCAATGACCCCCTGGGGCGGGGCCAATTTTGACCCCAGGGCTTTTATGTGAACAAACTTGGTAGACACTCACTAGAAAATGTTTCATGCCAAATATCTAAGCTCTAGCTCTTAGGGTTTTTTTAAAGAAGATATTTAAAGTTTTTTCTTTTGGTTGCCATGGCAACCAGAGTTCTGCATGGAATTAAATTCTTTGAACAATTTTTAAAGGTGACCACCAAAGGAACATTCCTGTGAAGTTTGGATGAAATTGGCTTAGTGGTTTATGAGGAGATGTCATTTAAAGTAAAAGTTTACGGACGGACAGACGGACGACGGAAGGACGCCGGACGGACGCCGGACGAAAAGCGATCACAAAAGCTCACCCTGTCACTTTGTGACAGGTGAGCTAAAAAATTAACAAGCAATTCTTAGATTTTTAGAAAGTTATATTAAAGTGGCACATCCCATAAAGACTGGAGTGTAGAATAAATCTTTGAAGAAATAAATTTATGAACAATATACTTATAGTTAAAGAAATGCAACTTAAACCCACAATCAAGATAAAGTTTTGAAGTTTGAATGTACAATAGGACAGATTTTACTATTTTGATCACAAAAGAGTACTCCATTACTAATGGAGAATGTATATTTGGGTCACATTGTCTGTATATTTGGGACCAAGTTACAGATAATTTATGTGGATAGTATAATTATGTATAAGTCTGTAAGACATTAATTGTACATTTAACAACATTTTTACTCATTACATTTTTTCTACATAATTTTTATGTATCTTTTAATTAAAGGAATTCCACTGAGGTCCAAAAGTCGAAAAACATAAAATTTAATTTCTTACAAAGATCGACTTGGGCATTTAAAACAAACAAAAATATGCAAATTCATATTCATTTAGAAATGTGTTTACTCAGGAATAAATTGAAAGGTATATTTTTGTACTGTATTCTGTCCACTTTGAGAGAAAAAGCATTGCAATATTTTTCACTTTTGGGAAATTTTTCACAAATAGAATAATGACTCTGGAAAAACTAAATGAGTGAATGATCTGAAATTTTGCACACAAGTTATTTGTCTAGACCTACGTTAAATGAAACATAAAAATTTATTTCCAGTCCTGTCATGTTTAAAAAACCGAAGTCGAGTCCCTTTAAAGTTGACATTAATCTGGTGGCATGCTCCTTTTAAAATTATAACTAATTTACTTTATCAACATATGACCCGTCATTCTTCAGCTGTAGTCAGTAATTAAAAAGTTTATAATATTACATGTTATAGAATCCTAAGTTTAGCATCATGAAACTTTGGTGTTAAACTAATCACTTTTGCTTTGTCACTCTTTTTATAGATATGTACTTCAACAAGGGTCAAAATCTAGTGGCACACTCAAATATGTTACTGTGGAATTCCTTGTTTTACATATTTTTCCTGGATTATTTGCCCATGAAGAATTATCTGTTGGCGGTTTACATTGCTCATGCACAGATTTTGTTACATCATTTAAGTAAATATACAGATGGTCATCAAGGCGTTTGTAAAAATCAGCTTTAAACTGCTTCATTTCATCAGTAATGCCTGTGCAGAAAAGTCTGTAATTCAGTGTCAGCCACAGGAACAAAATTACTGTATAATTTAAAGTTTTTGAACCAGAAAACAGTTCTAGAACACTAGATTCAAGAAGTACATCATTTTCACAGTCATAGAAGGCAATGGTCAACAGTTTTGAACTTATCCTTATGCCAGGTAACAAGAGGTTTTTCAATATTTTCTTCTTCAATTTACACTGTAAAAATGAATTAACTATGGTCTGAGACAAGAGTTGATTCCTGTCCTCATTTGAAGTCACAGATGAGTCCTCACTTTCAGTACCATCTGATGTTGTAGTTGTAAAAAGTACAGGGAGATCTTCAATAATGATTTCTGTTCTTCCATGCCATCCTTTCTCACAACCTGAATGAAGAAAGACATATTAAATAATAATTCACATATATTTTGCTTGAAATCTTACAACAACAAAAAGGATATGGTGGCTGTACATTCTATATGTAAGTTTATCTAGACATTTGCCCTGTCAAACTATGTTGATATAATTTGTAGCTATTCATACACAACAGCTAGAGAGATATTTCAAATACAATTTTACATTTAGGAGAAAATTAACCACACGTACAGTTCTGCCGAATTTCCAATAGAACCTTGTATTGCACTTGGTAATGGGAGAATTTTGGTCCAAAATAAATTTGACATAGCTTTAAGGGAGATTTCTTTCCCACGAAAAATGTTGGAAAATACAGGGCAAAAACAAACAATAACAAGACCTGCAAGTAGGAGTGGAATGGACTGGGCTCAGTGCTTGACAGTAATTATTTCTGGTTGGGTTTTACCTTGCATCAGCATAGAAGAGATCATAGTAATGATGACTTTCCAGCTTTTTATTGGTTGGGAAAGACCTTAGGTAACCTTTCATGAATTATTTCAGGCATGAACCATCACCAAAGAAGAGCCTGACTAACATTATGTAACCTTGCAAGATTGCTTCAATCACATGAAGAATCCAAAGTCCCTGGCGGAATTCGAACCCAAAACCATGAAGTTTACCTGGCTTGAAGTTAATGATCTTAACCACTCAGCCAAAGGCAGGCTATTGACAGAAAAATAAGGACCTGGGTATTCAATGTACATGTAAATTATCACAATTGGGGAAAATACAATCAAAAGCATTTAGGCTTCATTTATTTATTTATTTGGGTTGGGTTTTACATTGCATGGCAACTTTACAGCATTACTGGTGGAGAAAGACCTTCAGTGCCCCTTTGTGAATAATATTTCAGGCACAAACAGGCAATTGAGTGGAACCACTGACATTTTGTAAGCTAGCTGGATAGCTTTCTTACATTAAATAATTCGAAGATATTGGCACAAATCAATCCTACAGCAGTGAGAGGCAAGTGGTTTGAAGTCAACAACCTCTGTCACTTGGACATGGTTGCCCAAAGCTTCTTTTCATATACCCCAAAGTATCAATATTTTTATTAAATACAAGGGCCATCAGTGATGACATGTGGTGCCTCATGATAACCATAACTCGGCAAAAATCATTCAACCTAAACCCTACAATGTATGTAATATGCTAGAGGATTTGAGCTATCGATCAATCCTGTAAAGTTTCATTGAAATTGCATTAGTGGTAGTAGTCAGGAGTAGTCAGGACAAGTTTCAAATTTAAAATGAAAGGGCTAAAACTCTGACAAAAATCAATGAAATGAAAAATGCTGATGAGACATGGTATTGATCATACGGTTTTGATGACACTCTGAGGAGAAGTCTACACAAACTTCTATGTAGCTAAAATAGGCAACAAAAAAAGTGTATTATGCACAAGTACTTGACCTACCAATCAATCCTGTTAAGTTTCACTGACATTGCATTAATGGTATATGAGGTGTAGTCCGGACAAACTTTATCAACACCCTTTTTATTCAAGGGCTATAACTGGGCCAAAAATCATTCAAGCAGAAAAACCCATAAAATACGCACATGTATTAAAATGTTGACCTACCAATCAATCATGTAAAGTTTCAATGAAATTGCACAAGTGGTATAAGAGGAGTAGTTCAGAAAACTTTAAAAAATAGAAATAATTGAAGGGCCATAACTCTGACAAAATTCATTGAACCATAAAAAGCAGATAATATGCACAATTACACTTGGTACTGATCATTCCTGTAAAGTTTGGATGAAATTACACCAGTAGTTTTTGAGAAGTAGTCTGTACAATCTTTAGTGTATCTGGCACACACACACAAAAAAAAAACACCTTTTTTATTAAAGGGCCATAGCTCTGCCAAAAATCATTCAACTGAAAAACCGATGCAATATAATTATGCAAGGACTTGAGCTACAGATCAATCCTGTAAAGTTTCATTGAAATTGCATTAGTGGTATAAGGGGAGTAGTTTGGACAAACTTTAAAAATAAAAATTATTGAAGGGCCATAACTGGGCCAAAAATCAATGAACCGGAAAATGCTGATGATAATGCACAACTACACTCGGTACTGATCCTTCTTTAAAAGTTTGGATGAAATTGCACCAGTAGTTTATGAGGAGTAGCCCAGACAAAATTTGTGACAAACAGATAGATGTCCAGCTGAAATGGAATAAGGGGCCATTTCTTTTGTTATTTTCCTTTGTTAAATAGAGGGCCAATGGCCCCCTTATTCTATTGTTACGGAATGAACTATATTGCTCTCTTTTGTTCTGTTTACAGTTACATGGCTTCCTTTCCCTATTTGGTAATGCGGACATCAGAACGGACGGAAAGACAGACGACGGAGAAGTGATCCCTATATGTTGTCACTACACCGTAGAGGCGACACAAATATTAAGCAGTGTCAAGCAAAGGACTTCCTTTAAAACTAGAACTGCCACTGTCATGGCGTGAATACCCCCGCATACCACTTTGTCAGAATCAACAGTGGCCATTTAGAGCTCAAGGACAATCCCGGGTGTAGATTTTCCAGGGTAAGCCTGGAAGAGAGGCTGGTAAACCCTGGAAAACTATGGAAAAGCATGGAATTCCATGGAAACTCATCGAAAATTGGAATTTTTTCCATGCTATATGGACTTTTTTTGTCCGAATAGGCTGGAAATTGGCTGGACATTTGTGGTAAAAGACTGGAAAACCATGAACTTTACTTCCATGTAGCATGGAAAGTGGAACTTAGATTTTTTTGATGCTGGAAATGTGTTTAACTTTCTCTAAGTATGCTGGAAAAAACTTGTAAAAATTACAACAAGAAAATTCTTACTTTATATATTCAGCTCAATATTGTAAATTTACGAAGAAAACATAAAATCATCATTTATTTTAATACAAGTTACTGTAAATGATTTGAAATTTCACACTTTATACATTTCATGTAGTTGGAAAAAGGTATCTCAGAAAAAATGTCTATGCTAAAGACATAAATGAATTGATTGTTAAATACATATTATTATTATGAAGTTATGTACAATGAAATAATATCCATTTAATTACTGTGGGAAGGCTTTAAGTTTAACTATAAATTAATTAAAGTCTGTGATTCTATCATTTAGACACTATAATAATCAAGATGGGATTGCATTGCTTGCCATTTTTAAATTCTAAGAATTCATGTTTTTGGATAACAATAAATAAATCAATAAATAAACAAAACAAAAACACTGCATGAAAGAATCTCATATATATTCTATATTAAATTGATCAACATATATTGCTTTTATTTAGGAAAATAAATACTTAAAACATCCACTGAGATTTTATGCTACACAGATCAGAGCTCTGATAAAACTCATTGACCAGCATTTTCCCAACCATCTGTGTATGAGACTAATTTACTCACTGGTCATTCCGACAGATCAGGCTGTTCCATGTGATTATTTTGGGGGAGATAATTATTT